ATTTTGACAATGGTGTCGAGAGCTGAATAATTATGTTCTGATATGCAGCGGTGTCAGTCAACATGCAATATGGTGTGGGTTTTTATAGTACACCCTGAAACAGCTAATAGCATTATATACGCTAAATGCGTTTCAGAAAGAATAATATTAATGCAGATTAGACAAAACAGTTGAACAACGACTGTTGACCAAACTTACGCCTATTGCACGACAGTTACATCGATGAAGAAAGAAATGAATACTACGATGTTCTTTCAGGAAATGAAGAATGGCTAATGATGAAGATGTAGTGATAGTGGCGGGTGATTTTAGTAGAAAAGAAGATAAGAGAACAAATGGGGAAATTTACAGGATCAATCAGCAATGCCAAAATGATATGCAGTAGTAATTGTAAATCGCTGCTCAGCCTGTGTTCCGAACAAAGAAAAAAAATGTTCAATAGTGGTGTAGTCGCATCAGAACTTGGTATAGCGCAAATAACAGGAAACTAGTCATCTCAAATCGATTTTATTCTGATCAGAAGGAGAGAAATTCAGACATTATTGGACCCAAGAGAACAACCAAATACAATCACTGATACTGATCATAAGTTTAGAATATTTAAAAAAAACATCAGAAGCAAAAGCTGTTGTATTAAAGAGTCCTAAAATCAGAAGCAAAAGCTGTTGCATTAAAGAGTCCTAAAATCAGAAACAAAAGCTGTTGTATTAAAGAGTCCTAAAATCAGAAACAAAAGCTGTTGTATTAAAGAGTCCTAAAATCAGAAACAAAAGCTGTTGTATTAAAGAGTCCTAAAATCAAATCGCCTGGTTTAAATAGACTAACTACAAAAGCCGTTCAAGCGTGTGGTTACTCTGGCATCATACGGCTAAGAAAAGGTTTAAATGCAGCCTGGTAAGAAAAAAAAGTTCTACTTGACACGCAGCAAGCATTATTAGTACCAGTTTAGAAAAAGATAGCTGATACAAGGTAATACATAGGTATATCACTCTTGAGCCACACAGGAAAAATGTATGCAAAGTTTTTAAAACAGGTATCATATGGCTAACAAGAATTTTTGTAAGAGCTTGGTAAGAAAGGAGAGTTCTACTTGACAGGCAGCAGGCAGTAATAGTACCAGTTTGGAAAAAGAAAGTTAATAGAAGAGACACCGAACAGAGGTAAATGTCTCTTTAGCCACACCTGAAAAAAAATGTATGCACGGCTTTTAGAAGCAGGAGTTAGACCTGTAGCGAAACAGCATTTTAGTACATCACAGTCTGGTTTCAGGAATGAAAAACGTTGAACGGATGAATTATTTGCGCTAAGGAAAGTTTGGTAGGTAGGTAGGTAGGTAGGAAGGTAGGTAGGTAGGTAGGTAGGTAAGTAGGTAGGTAGGTAGGTAGGTAGGTAGGTAGGTAGGTAGGTAGGTAGGTAGGTAGGTAGGTAAGCTGTACCCCACCAGGACATCACAGAAGCAATAAATACCCGGTGACACAAAGTGCCACCATTAGGATGTGGATCACCTGTGGAAAGGTCCCGGAAACCCTGTTTAGCCGTTCTGTCATATTTCAGGCCCGGCTATATTTGGGGCCCCCGGCAAAAGCCAGGGCGGGGCTTCAACATAACTAAAAATTACATCCCACATGGGGGCGACAAGATGCTAAGGCAAGTTTGCGTGAAAGCTATTGGCTATAATGATGAACTAAATATTGTGTTTGTAGATCAAGCAAAATGTTTTGTGATGGTGGACGGAAACAAATTATTGGGTATTATTAGGGATACAATTACAATAGTCAGATAACATCATTGCCATGTACCACACTTCCCAAAGCGCACTGAGAACACAAGAAGGTATATCTTGTAAGTTTACAATCAATGCAGGGGTGAGGCAGGGATGTGTGCTCTTCCTGCCCTATTTAATATATACATAGACAGCATATCTAAAGAAGCTAGTTTTCAGCAGCTGACTCAGAAAATGAGGAACATTCGTTTTTCCAGAGGATGATTTAGATTCGCACACAATAATAAAGTTACTATTTGCAGATGATCAGCATCTGTTCTGCAATGAGGGGAGTAGACTAAAAAACCATTTAAACACACTAAGTTCAACATGCAGAAAAAACAACATGAAAGTAAATACGAATTAAGTTGAAATAATTCAGGTCACTAGAATTCCTAGTCCCCTTCATAAGGGTTAAATATTGCTTGTTTGAAGCATGTTAAAGAATTTACACAATTTTCTCAAAGGACGGGAAAATAGATTTAGAAATAGAACAACAAACCAACGATCCGGTGCACTTACATGCCAACTGACGCCGTTATTAAGATATCCCAAACATAAGTGTGACCGCCAAGAAGCAGACTGTAAACAGCATATTCATGCCATCACTGTTTTACCAAAGCCTGGCTTGGACATTATCGAAGGCTAACCTAAGTAAAAATACATACATCCTGGGAAATGAGATGCCGGAGGAAAGCCACCTGGCAGCTAGGGCTGTACCGAATAGTGATTTTCACTATTTGGCCGAATACGAATAACGGGACCAACTATTCGACCGAATACCAAATAGTCAATAGGTCCACTATTCGGCCCCGAAGCGAATACAAAGCGAATATTCGGTACAGCCCTAATGGCAGCTAAAGTGGAAGTGTATGATAAGAATGATGAGATCGAGGGCTTTTGGTTCAGAGAGCAGAGGACAATTACTGAATGTAAACTCCCTTGTAAAGCCAAAACAGCCAAAAATTACTGCCTTGGTTCTGCGACGTCCTATAAAAAGGATAGGCGACTTACTATACCCTCATTATCATATGTTTATCATGTTATGAGCTTCTGTGGCTTAGGCGTTGCAGATGCGCTTCGTAATGCCGGGGTACCGGGTTCGATCCCAACTGTGGACGGTTGTCTTGCGTTGGTTTCGACAGTTGTGCCGAGAGCCAACTGTTGAGAAAGCAGTGGCATACTACTGAACATAAAATTTGCCTAGAGAAATCAATACAGCCAAAAAAGCTGGGGGTGGTTCTGCAACATCCTAGAAGGGATACCAACTAACTTTATGATGTTATGTAATTTGTAATTTGATTTGTTTTCTCAGAGTTCACCACGTTAAACTGCACTTTGGAAGTCTGGATCTGATTGGATCTGAGCACACCGTTAATGGAAGACCTTTCCCTATAGAAGTAAGAGACCATGTTTTTTTGGCCCAGGACATAGTTTTAATCACACATGTAAATGAATCAAGTTTTTTTTTTAAATTCTCCACCCTGTGAGATGCATAGGTTATATAGTGCTAGACCCATTATGTATAGACCAATGAGTATTCAGTTGGGTGTATAGACCAATGAGCATTCTGTATGGTATATAGACCAATGAGCATTTTGTATGGTATATAGACCAATGAGCATTCTGTGTTTTATATAGATCAATGAACATTCAGTGTGGTATAGACCAATGAGCATTCAGTATGGTATATAACAATGAGCATTCTGTATGGAAAATAGACCAATGAGCATTCCGTATGGAATATAGACCAATGAGCATTCCATATAGTATATAGACCAATTAGCATTCCTTATGATATATAGACCAATGAGCATTCTATATGGTATATAGACCAATGAGCATTCAGTATTGTATATAGACCAATGAGCATTCAGTATGATATATAGACCAATGAGCATTCTATATGGTATATAGACCAATGAGCATTCAGTATGATATATAGACCAATGAGCATTCTATATGGTATATAGACCAATGAGCATTCAGTATGGTATATAGACCAATGAGCATTCAGTATGATATATAGACCAATGAGCATTCAGTATGGTGTATAGACCAAAAAGTATTCCGCAGAGTAGAGACAAATGAGCATTCAGTACGGTATAGAAAAATGAGCGCTCCTTATGGTAGTGCTATTCATCTAGCAGCCCACCGGCCAAATCTGCCTCACAAAGATTTAACAAGCTGCTCGAGGATCATTGCCAGATGTACTCTGTGCTTGGATTTGGATACCTATTTTCAAAATTTTGGCCTCTGCGTTGAATAGCCCTGCACGGTAAAGACCAGAGCAATTCAATTAGCGGTCTGTAGACCAAATTTGGCCCTCGGAGGCCTACAAGTGGCCCAAGGGGCACTGCCAGTCCTGTTACATGATCTTTATATGCTAGGGCTTAAGCCTCTCACCCGTTACGATCTCCATTTTCAAAAATATGTTCCTTAAGTAACCCACGTATAGACCAATGGGCACTACACGTATGATGAGCTCAAGATGAAGTCTTACACTTCCCAGAAACTATCCATGTGTCAGATGTTATGTTTTGTTGTCATTATCGACGTCACTGCACATTGTGCATTCCCATGCGTGGGGCTCAGTCATCCCATGCAGTAGCCACTCCAAGGTTTCTACTAATTGCTCCAATGAGAAGTTGGTTATAATGTCTCCTCTCTCGGCCTCGAGGGCGGCATAGACGTGCTTCCCCGTGCTTTACTCCCATGTCACGCAATTGTGTTTGTGTCATAGATTCGTCATTATCCACTAGCCCAGTCAGTACAGCATTGATGATATCTGCTGTGTTCATGCGTCTTCCTGCATTGCTTGCCAGTTTTTCGGCTCGCTCATGACCATTTACGCCCGCATGACCAGGTGTGTAAATCCAGGCATGAGCAGTCACTATAACTTTGGTCTGGTGTTGACAAGATCTTAAGTTTTTAACAAAACAAATCACACAAATACATCTAATCACTGCATATATGTGAAAGCTTATCATACACAAATGTATATTTTATAAACATATGTTTTCATATTAATATATTCGTGTTTGTGACCAACAAGTTGCAGGTTTACGGTTACAACACGGAGCTGTTCTCCAGTTTTCAGGACGCGGCGTTGGCATCCCACGGTGTTGCTGCTGTTGCTCTGTTTGGAATGGTAAATGGTTATTTGATGTTCTGTGTACCTGAGAGTTTCGTAGGAATGTTGTAAGAGTTGATTGTGGTTAGGCTGGCGACCTGGCGTTTGCTACCTTATCCTGAAAAATATTAAGCCACACACAAAAAAGTACAGCAAACAAAATCTAAACAATAATTCTATACCAATACAAATCAAAGAGTTTCTTTCATGTTATCTTTCCATCTTGTTCTTTGTCTGCTTCTTGATCTAAGTTCCTTTCCTCTTTTCGTATGTGCCTTGTATGGTATAGCATCAGAAGGCATTCTCTCCAAGTGGGCAAACCATTTAATTTGCTGTCTTTGTGTGTAATTAAGAATTGATTCTGTGCCGAATTTATCTCGTATGACCTCTTCCTGATTTTATCTCTTCTGACCACTTTCTGAGACACCTCATTTCTATGTTACTAATTTTCTTTTATGTTTTGTTGTGACTGACTACGTCTGGCATTGGTAGCATAGGGCGGGAATGTCTAAGCTACGTATGAGATTGTTCTTTGTGCTGTCTGGAATAGCCGTAGGCTTTAAGAGGAGTGATATCTGACCTACTTGGCCTGCTTTACTGCATCAGATGTCGATTTCGTCATCCAATTTACCATCTTCATTGAACATTGTTCCAAGATATTTAAACTCAAATGTCTATTTAATAAATTTATGTGGTCTAATTCTACATTTAAATTCTGCTTCATTCTTCCTATTGACTACTTCTGTCTTTTCGATGTTGATTCTCAAATTATTTGATTTACATTCTTCATTCATGGATGTGAGATTATGTTGTAAATTTATGGCTATATCTAAACCTAAACAAACCAGCCACATACACACACACAGAACCCATGTCTTTTGTGACCAAGCGAAGGAGGTTGCGGTAACATGTCAAAAATTACTCAGTGAACACTAGATCATTACAATAATGGACATGGAATTTTTTTTTTTTTTTTTTTGACAGAGCATTTGGTCATCTGGGTGATGTATTATTGACTCCAATGCGCACCGTAACAATGCCATACGGCTGATTCTGTAAAAAAAAAAAAGATACTCCAGTAGTATGTATGCGATATATTCTTGCACTGACGACTACTGCAGATAGGTTCAAAGTGCTGCAAGCGAGGTCATATCTCAGATTAGTTGCAAATGTGAAACACCTCCCAAGGGCAGCGTTAAGGATCATGGACTGAAAAGAAAAGAGTCTAGATGGGGTGAGTGGAAGACTCAGAGATGCGTGCATGCCTGGACAAATTGAGTGAGGAGAGGAGTGGATCAGAGTTTCCAAGCATCATTTAGACTTTTGTAGGGTTCTTATCTTCTTCTTCGCCTTCACCGGCTGTAAACTCCGGCGGAAAGTTGTGGTTGTTGATTTATCTCTGGACTTTAGTCCGGTTTTTAGAACCTGAGTGTTGTGTGCACATCCGTTTTACATATCTGACTCATAGAATTTGTATGCAGACTGCTGGTTCCTTGCCTCTCAGGCAGATGCACTCCGACTGTGAAGGATAAAGGGTTCTAATGACACTGAGCCGAGAGTGAAGTAACTAGCCAGTGGGCTCTACAAAATTGAGAAATTCAATGAACTGATTCTTGACAATTCTCTCCCTTGCGGTGGGATTAATTGTATGGATGGCTCTGTGTTGAGAGACAGAAAAAGTGCATGTTGGTTCGTAACAAAAACGAATGGACAATCTTGCGTGTAACAGACTTTGGCAATACGACACCGTAATATCTAATTTGAGAAAAGAGATGGAGGCAGTCACTGCAGCTTTCCCATAGCCTGCGAACTAATGTTATACACAAGCTATCTGTGGTCGTGGCTCTTTAGGAGCAAGTGAATACAGCGGAAGCACTAATATACAGTCAAGCTGTGGAAAGAATGGCGCAGCGGGCAGGGACCAAGAAATTTGACCGACACTCAACACTCAGAGGAAAGGTAAGACGGACATACGATCACTCTGCTACTGGTACCACTGGGATTGTTTCTTTGCGTAAGCTGCTGAAAATGGGGATGGAGCAGTTCTATGAATGTCCCGAGTGCTGTGGTGTGGACTCTTAACTCAGCTCAATCATCTCTGTTGACACAAATGCAGGAAATGTCGCTTACATAACGCCCAGCACACCTTCGTTTTTCTCAGCCTCTAGTACAGTAGTTCTCAACCTTCCTAACGCCCCGACCCTTTAATACAGTTGCTCTTGTTGTGGTGGCTCCCAAACATAAAATTATTTTCATTGTTACTACATAATTTCAGTTTTTCGATGGTCTTAGACGAACAATGTGAAAGGCTCGTGCCGTTGAGAACAATATTCCACCCTAAGGCTGACTTCTCTAACTCACCTCTTCTGTTAATGTGCTTCGTATAGTTGCCTTCGTTTATGGTTACCTACAGCTAAAAAGGTTAACCAGCTTGCAAAAATTAAAAACTTTCTTGATGTAGACACAAGAAAGATATTCTATAATTCTCACATCCAGACATATTTAGACTATTGCTCGACCTTGGCTGTTCAAGCTCTGTTTTCAAACGGCTCACATCACTGCAAACGCGCGTCATTCGCTTAATTAATAACAATCATGGGACAGTGAGCTCTGAAACATATAAAGGTCTTAGGCTACTACCACTTCGTGAACGTCTACTTTTCAATAAGGCGAAATTTACTTACAAAATATTATCTCTAAACGCTCCATGTTACTTATGGCCGTTGTTTAAATATAACGAAAGGCATAGTAAGCGCCTAAACATATTATACATCCCTAAACCTAGGATAGACCTTTACAAAACAAGTTTGTCATATTCCGCAGCCCAACTGGGGAACTATCTACCACAGCAAATGAAAAGTACCACTAGTCCATATACTTACAATCGGAAACTGTTTGAACATTATCTAAGCACCGATTATATGCCCCCATAGAAGATAAAACATATGTGAAAAATAGCGCTAATTTTCCCTAGATTTGTTACAACTAATACGTTTTACTGTAGTTAGAAATGTGCACATTCCAGTGCTTGTATTGAATATGTTGATGCTATTGCTAACTTTTAATATTACTTGATGTGTGAATGAAATAATGTAAGAACGGAGGGAGACCTCGAAGGGCAAAATGTTAGACGGGCCTGCGTGCCCAATTCTAAACCCTTTAAAAATAAAGTTTGTTCTTTGTTCGTTCATTCATTCCGTTTATGGCTAATTTCAGTTGCCTTTCGTTTATTGTTACCTAGCAGTTGCCTTTCGTTTATGGCAACCTTCAGTTGCCTTTCGTTTATGATGTTTATGTGACTTTCCATACCTCTGAATTTGTTTTTTGTTTTTGTTTTCTGGGCACGACATACCGTAAAACTCTTCCTGAAATCCAAATTTCTATTTCTCACAGTTTGTTCAACATGTCCTTACTCATCCAGTATTGACCCTGTACAGTAAAACAAGTCACGCCATTCTTTCCATGATTCTTTGCATCATTCATTACCCCACTAACACAGAAGAGCCACAAATAAACACCGTATTTCAAATATAATTTAACACTTATGTTAGCAAGTGTATTTCTCTAGACACTATCCTACATTACCTACATGTGTCTAGCATTCTGGTTCAATTATATTTATTATTTGTTACAGATTGGACGCGATCTAAACAACGAATTTGAATTTTTGGTGAAAGCAATCAGCAAAATACCATATAAAGGTATAACAAACCATGGTTTCAAACTGAATGAATGTTTGTCATTATCATTGCTGTCTCTACATTTGATATGTTGGTAGAAAGAGTAGCAGACTGTCACTGAAATGATGTTGAGTATATTGTTAAAGAGTCGGCAATGTGGCTAAGTCAATGCGAACGCTTCGTAATGCCGGGGTGCCGAATTCGATCCCAGCTGCGGGTCATGCGCCTTGCGTTGGTTTCGACAGTGATATCGAGAAAGCCGACCGTCCAGAAAGCAATGACAAACTACTGGACGTAAATTTGCCTAGAAAAACTACACAACAGCAAAGGGTTGTTGGGGTTGGCTCTGCAACGTCCTGTAAAGCAACTAACCTATATTGTTAAAGCGGGTTAACAAGACTCAGACAGTTGTTTGCCGATCCTATTGTTGGAACCCAGAGAAGCTGACATTTTAGTTGACCTGAATTCTCAGGTCAACATAACCTAACAAATTAACACTGCCAAAAATGTTATAAGAAGTAAAAGCATCCTTTGTGATATTGCAACTCACTCATCGAGTTGGTACTGGCTTATAAATCGTTACTAATACCAAGAGCCTTGCTGACTGGCGTGGGCGATTATGTCTCTCTGCAATCTGTGATCTTCAACTGGATGTATTATTCATGTGTTTACATCCCTCTTTACTGTGGAAAAAGTTTGAAGAATCTTCTCCTTTTGTCTTCATCTGTCTGTTTTTACAATGTATATTTTTTTTTTCTGTGGTAGTAACATGTTCCACTTTCCTTCTTTCCGTTAAACGACCCCAACAAAAGATGACTGTCTGTTTCTGATGTTTGTGATAAGTTGTCTTCGAACCCTTCCCTCTTTTAAAACATCTGGTTTACCCTTTATGGCTGTCTAATACATTCTACTGATTCTTCTGTAAATTCGCAATAAATTGTTGGGCTTGTTTATTAATTTCTGGGATTCACAGCCATATATAGACCCTCCAATAAATTTCTGGGATTGACAGCCATATAGACCCTCCAATAAATTTCTGGGATTGACAGCCATATAGACCCTCCAATAAATTTCTGGGATTGACAGCCATATAGACCCTCCAATAAATTTCTGGGATTGACAGCCATATAGACCCTCCAATAAATTTCTGGGATTGACAGCCATATAGACCCTCCAATAAATTTCTGGGATTGACAGCCATATAGACCCTCCAATAAATTTCTGGGATTCACAGCCATATAGACCCTCCAATAACGTCGTTGTCTCAATAGATAGTTAAGAGCTATGATTTACTAGGAAAATACAGCAGTGGTTTCCCCTTGACTACCATCGGTTTATGAATGGTTTCACTTCAATAGCTCTTGTCTCAACAGGAGTACACTGCAAGACAGCAGAAGACAGGGGTTATAATGGAACTCTTACAAGCCAATGGCCTTGTCGCGATCCAGTATCATTATAGAAAAACAATTTAAAATGACCATGTTCAACCTGATGTTGTCAGCGAATTAGTTTGTATTTATGGCCTGGTTTATATGCGCCACTTCCGTGGCTAAAACACCGGTATATAGCAGTGATATTCTAAACTAACAGTTACACCACGCTTAAAAACATGGCGTAATACACAGATTTAATAACGGTGCGCGAATAACTGATTTTAAAAAATCTGCAGTATTAAACATACACCCTATAGTAGGACAGGCTCTTACGCCAGGGGATGAATATATACATGTAATAATTCAAAAGTCTTGTCGCCTTACTGTTCTAAAGCTCTTTCCAGTGCCTTCAATTAGTATCTAGTCTACCATCTGGCTTTTCTCATCAGATGTTTCACTGACGCCTAAACCTGCGAGAACACGTTTTCTACCAGATTCAGCGTGCCAGCTGACACAAACTTTAGATAAAAGGTGGAGCCTAGGAACCTCCGTAGATCATCTAGCTTATGGATTCTGGCCTTGTTAATGATCAACCGTGCACAGTTCCTTTCCTCCTTGCTACCTGAACATACCAGAAGCTCCTTGGCGGATATGCAAAACTTGTCACCATTGCAAGGTGTCAATATCAATTATCTTTGAGTGAACTCTGAATCTTGAGTAAACTTTAGTTGTCCATTGTCACATTTAGTGCCTCCATGTCTCTTACTGTGCGTGTCCCTCTTCTTGCGCGAGTCTGCAACTGCTACAAACCAGGGTTGACTACTCTCATCAAGGATGATGCTTTTCTTCTTACTTGTGAGGCGTCATATTTTCTCTAAACATCAGAGGTAACTCAACAACTGTGTTTGACTTGTTATATTCACCCTAAATGTTACAAGTAACTCAACAACATTGTTTAACTTGTCATGTTCTGTCTAAACATCAGAGGTAATTCAACAACTGTGTTCGACTTGTTATATTCTCCCTAAATGTTACAAGTAACTCAACAACATTGTTCAACTTGTCGTGTTCTGTCTAAACATCAGAGGTAACTCAACAACTGTGTTTGACTTGTTATATTCTCTCAATGTTACAAGTAATTCAACAACATTGTTTAACTGCCATGTTCTGTCTAAACATCAGAGGTAACTCAACAACTGTGTTTGACTTGTTATATTCACCCTAAATGTTACAAGTAACTCAACAACATTGTTCAACTTGTCATGTTCTGTCTAAACATCAGAGGTAATTCAACAACTGTGTTTGACTTGTTATATTCACCCTAAATGTTACAAGTAACTCAACAACATTGTTCAACTTGTCATGTTCTGTCTAAACATCAGAGGTAATTCAACAACTGTGTTTGACTTGTTATATTCACCCTAAATGTTACAAGTAACTCAACAACATTGTTCAACTTGTCATGTTCTGTCTAAACATCAGAGGTAATTCAACAACTGTGTTTGACTTGTTCTAGTCTCTAAATGTTACAAGTGACTCGAAAGCATTGCTCGATTTGTCATGTTCTCTATAAATATCACAGTTAACTTATTATATTCTCTCTAAATGTTACAAGTGACTCAACAGCATTATTCAACTTGTCATGTTCTCTCTAAACATCAGAGTTAACTTTTTATATTCTCTCTAATGCAACAGATAATTCCACGCCTGTGTTGGACCTATCGTTGAGTACCCTGCTACCGGAGACACTTGACTACATGACCTATGAGGGATCTATGACACAGCCTGGCTGCTCAGAAACAGTTACCTGGGTAGTCTTCAATAAACCACTGTATGTTCAGAAGGAGCAGGTATGCGTACAAATCTTATCATCATCATGTAGCAGGTCCTTTGCAGGACGTTGCTTTCATCACGGTCTGCCTGAAAGAAACTCGGTCTCTCACCAGCTCTCCCGCCTCATGTACTTTCACACTCAAGGAGTCACTTAAAGCCTGTGTCCATCTTCGTGTCAGTCAGTCCCTGCCCCTCCTTCCTGGTACCATGCCTTCTGCTATAATTGTTTTCCAATCCGTCGTGGCACTTGATATGACCAAAATATTTCAGCTTCAAATTTTATAATATGAACCATAATTTTGTGAATATCATGTTCTTCTTCGTCATCATTGTTCATCTGAGTGACGTAAATGCGCTGTGTCGGTTCACAGCATTGTTCAGATTTTGCTCCTTTCGGCCGACTTCTTCAGGAATTTGTTTTCCAGGTTAGCCATTCCTGTGTGGCACTGTGGGAGATTTGGCAGCTTCATTTGTGTGGGGACTTCGTCATCTCTTCATCCAAGGATGTAGTCATAAGAAGGCCCGTCCAGGGCAGCTGTATCCAGGCTGGTCGACCTCAGATCCATCCATCCATTTATGAAAAACAAAACAAACAAAAAAATCGACTACATTCAACCTACTGCGAGCAGTATCGGTTATAATTGCAGTCTGGTTTCTTTGTGCCAATTATGTTGGCTAATAAATGTTAATTGCACCAAAAACGTGTGGCTTAGTCCGGTACTCTAGTACCCAGTGGGGGTTGTCTTCAAAGGCAGGGGTAGAACAGGATCCTTTCCCACCATCAAAGGAGGCATCCACAAAAAACAGAGCCGATACATGACCATCTGGTACCAGGCTAACCCAGGGAATCGTCATGTCCTACACATAACGACTTATCCTTGCATCCATGCACTGAACCTTCCACATTACAGGCTGTGCCCTTTAGGACTGTCAGGAAACAGTCCATAGACCTGGTACTTCAAACACCTTCATAAAATGGGCATCTCGAGTATACAGCATGTTCAACATCTGTCGTCACTAATGGCAACTGTCATGTGATGCCCCTGGGCACTTAATACGACATTAACTTTTTTTAAACAAAATACAATCAATGGTCATGGTTTCAACCTATTGATCTGACCTATTTGTATGCAGATTGTTGGTTCCTTGCCTCTCTGACCGATGCACTCCCACTTCGAAGAAAGCCGCCAGTTGGTCGACTATTACGACATGCTTATTGGGGAGGCAGCGGGTCTATTCTTGTTTCTCATACAATGAGGCCCCGGAACCCACACGGGAAAGCTGTTGTCTGAAGGTTTATCATCTTGTGATTTAGAATACTCATGACCTATTTGGAACGATTCCATTACATTCTAAATCAGGGACACAATAATATACTCGTAGATTTAGTATGGCTGAACATTTGCTAAAAATAGAAGACTGAATTGACACAATCAGATGACTTCAATGCCAGTTTTAGACTGATATATTCCCATTTATGATGAATAAACCATGGTCTAGCGGCTAGACGCTCGCCTCGGATCAAAAGGTCGTGGGTTGGGTTCCGGACGGGGGCCGGATTTTTTTAAAACATGACCTTGGCTCCCAGGTAGACCCAGCCTTGAGTGGGTACCAGGTGCAGTCCTGTGAAGTAAAGGCGACCGGAATTATGCTGACCACATCACCCATCTTGTGCCGCTTGGTCTATAAAATATAGGTCTAGCCCTATATACCCAATACGCCTGAAAGGCGTGGAAAAGGGTCCTTTACTTTTTACTTTTAAATGTGCTGATGTCAATCAAATGTGAGAATTGACAGTTGCAAATGTGTGTATCAAACTATTGGACGTAAATTTGCCTAGAGAAACTATACAACAGCCAGGGGCTGCTTGGGTTGGTTCTGCAACGTCCTGTAAAGGATACGCAACTAACCTAACCTAACTAATATGCATGTATACATATGTTCCCCAGCTCGCCTTACTGCGCCGTCTGCATGAAGTGGCCGGGGTAGAGAGTCCACCATTGCTGATGGAAAATAACTTCAGACCTTCAATGCCAGTTAACAGGAGAACAGTTAGAACCAATATCAAACCAAACAGTCAGGCCAGTTGCATTTACTGTTTCTATTTCAAACGTTCATTTTATTTCATCTAGGAATGTATTATGTGTTACTTCATTGTTGTTATTTTTTTCAGCATTCTTCTGGAAAATAACATTTTTGTCTAGAAGGCCTTATTTCTTTCTTTTTTTTTTTTTTCTCCACTTGCTCCTCCTTCTTCTCCTTCTTCTATTAACATTTGCTATTCTACTACTCTGTGTATGACCAGTAGTTTGTCTTGAACAATGAATCTTCTTCGTCAACTTTACCCTCTCTAGAAAAATCTTGGTAGTTTTGTACGACGTGTCCTGGAGTTTGCTTTTGTGCTCCATATTTGCGCGTGGCGTGGCCAGTGAACTTTCGTGTGTCATTGGTGCTATCACAGAAAGCAAAGAATAGTAACACTGCAAGCTATAAAGCATGTTGTAAGAGGTGACTAGGGATAGGGTTGGGCTTAGGGTTAGCTACTTTATCCTGTAAAAATAATTGCCACACAAACCAACTAACCATAGAAAAGTCAAAAAGAGATGACGAGGAATGATGGCATAGTGTGGAGAAAGCCCAAAGGAGGATGGATCATCGAGGTACCTCATTACATATATACAAATCTCCAGAATTAGCACCTTGAATGTTAGAACTTTGTACGATATAGGAAGAAAAATACAGGTATTCAGGTAAATGAAACATAATAGGATTAGTATTTTAGCTTTATGTAAAACTAGATGAACTCGGCGGGGAAAGTAGAATTTTACGGATATTACAATCTGCAACTATTATCATCAGCATTTGCACACTTTGATGGCTGCTGAAGATAGGGATGGATTGCATTTGGGAATTTCCAAGTTTTCTCAATGCAGCCCAACTTAAAATACGCATAGCTCTTATTAAGTTATTTAATAACAATAGCTACTCAAGGAAACAGTGTTATTAACGTTAAGGGTAGAATCGCTGCTTGGAAAGAAGACATACTTACAAATTATCGAAATCTTGAACAAGAATATATCAGTTAACACAGAAAGAACAGAAATACCCAGCATGAATAGACGCCAGAATATTTTCTGGAAAATGGCGACGACGATTTTGTTACTAAACCTATGACTGGGACATTTTCAAAATACACAATTTTATCTGTACTAAAGTGTTTGAAACTCTGATGTTTCAGCGTATTTACATTTTCTTAAATGTTTACAAATTTTTTTTTTCTAATACAGGTTGCAAATTGCCAAGCACACAAGCTAGCATTTTATGAAGGTACTTTTTACATCTTATTTATGTTACCTATTCATAAATTGGGAGTCGCCGTGGCAGAGCGGCTAGACGCGCGCCGCGGATCGTAAGGTCGTGGGTTCGCTCCCTGGTGGAGACGGACGTTTCTTCAAAAATGACCTTGGCTCCCAGGTCGACCCAGCCTTGAGTGGGTACCGGGTGCAATCCCAGGAAGTAGAGGCGGCCGGCGTGATGCTGACCACATCACCCATCTTGTGCCGTTGGTCTATAAAAATATAGGTCTAGCCCTATATGCCCTATACGCCTAAAGGCGTGGAAAGGGTCCTTTACTTTGTTTTTATTCATAAATTATTTGTTTTACATTGCGTAATTAACCATTCAAAGGAACTGTTTGGGTAGGGGATGTCTTAAGAATTATACTGTCCTTTATTCTCCAAGTGTGAACTAACCAAATGAGCCTTTGAAGACTGAGCACTGACAAAACTGTTGTGATTCCTGCTCGGTTTAATTCAGTAGTATTTGTGATTTCACTTTCCATTAAATGACAGTTATTCTTCATAGGTATAGCATGTGAAAGCTATTAAGCCTTTTCTTGTAGCATTAATAAGTCAACCAAGTTTCACTCGTATGTAAAATGGTCAATGTCTGAGTCCAGCTCTTCACCATCACTATAGACTGCAAATCTATCATTACCATCTTCAGAGAATGTGGGCCTTTTTTTTAATTGTTAGTCCGAATTCACAACAGGCATCAACGAATGCAGACATTAAATATGGTACTTCCTCCTCCCTTGTGTGGGTGGTAATTACATCATCTACAGTCAGCAGTTCTTGACAAGTACCTTCCTAATCTTGGTCTTGGCTTTCAAGCATTGTAGAGGCAGACATCAGATCGAGAGTGTATGAACACACCGCACTCTTGATCTCGGTAGTTATGTTTCAACAGAAGTGAGAAATATATTCCAAAGAAGGTAGAAGCAAGTACATATTGTTGCTTCACTCTTCTTGGTGACAAAACTAAATGTACCTCTCATACCTGTCTATAACGACTCAATGATGATCAATAGGGTAGGTCAAAGTCTTATTGTACCTATGAACAGTCCCCCAGGACTAACCAATTAAAATTCCCTGGTAAGATCAATAAAGGCAATATATAGTGACTGATTGGATAGGTTAACATGGAGAAAACACATCAACAAAGCAGCAACCAAAGCCAGAAGGAGGGTAGCCATTCTGAGAAAACTAAGTGGAACCACATGGGGTGCTAGCGGGAAAATACTTAGAAGAGTTTACCAACAAAGTGTTCGACCACATCTTGAATACGGATCAACAGCATGGAGTTCGGCATCAAAAACCACATTGCAAGAATTAGACAAAGTGCAAAATCAAGCACTCAGAGTTACCACAGGCAGTATGAAATCAACACCTATAGCTGTGATGGAGAAAATGGGGATGACCCAAGCACTGAGTGAACACAGAGACACAAAGATGCTTTTACAAGCAGAAAAGTTTCTTAGTATGCCCAGTCACCCTATGAATGAAAGATTCCAAAATCTAGCTTTGGGACCACTAAAGAGAAGTAGTTTCATCCACCAGGCCAAACGGCTCTGCAGACAAACCACTGATTTGCCTGCAACTGATAGATCCTTAAATGCTGTCCCAGAATGGACCCCCTGGAGAGAGGAGTATAAGTTTCCAATACACATCAAGACAGAAGTGAAAGGGGTATTTGACAAGGAAGAACAAAACAGTGTGTAGCACAAAACAGCCACTCTCAGTCTACTTGATGATGAATACCCGCAGAATCTGTGGGTCCGTGTTTACACAGATGAGTCAGCAGAAAGTGCAGTCAGAAACGGAGGTGCAGGAGTGTACATTGAGTATCCTAATAATATCAGGGATACAGCTAAAATACCAACAGGAAAGCACTGTCCAAACTATGATGCAGAAGTTCAAGCCATCAAAATAGCGGTAGAGAAACTACTAAATACAGGGTATTTTTCACAACCAGTGGTATTCCTGACAGATGCAAAAGCGGTACTTCAGGCACTCCAGTCTGGAAAATTACTATTATCCGAACTAGGCAACCGTTGTAATTTAGTAATGCAGTGGATACCTTTACACTGTGGTGTTCCCGGAAACGAAAGAGCTGATATACTAGCTAAGGAAGATGCAACTGAAGAACAACCCGAAATACCAGTACAGAAGAAGAGAATAATCAAATCAATCCGAATGCCACCGAAACTGGCACAAGACAATTACCATATTATGGACAGACCAGAGCAAGTCATTATCCTTCGCCTTAGAACAGGGCACAGTCGACTTTGCTGCCACATGTACAACAAATTTAAAGAGATAGTTGTGGAAGTCAAACTTTACGGGCCGCTTAGTGAATTACAAAAGACAGTGAAATTCATACTAGAGACAGCATTGTAGATATAGATAATTTATTTCATTCGAACGAAAGAAGAAGAAGTGACTGATTTTGTTCACATCATTATTTTTGTTTGCGCCAGTCGAAATGAGAATATCGTACCTGTGGTAGACTGCTTCCTATGAAAGCCACAGCTTGACTGTAGGTAAATTTGTTATCCCAGTAATAAGAACAAATGTGGCAAGTAATTTTCCAACAGTTCACAACAGTGGCATATCCCTGTAGTTCTTACAATCACACCGATCACCCTTGTTCTTGTAGACTGTTATGACGATTAACTCTTTGAAGTCTTTTGTGATCTGTCCTTCATGCCAACATAATGTTATAAGCTGATGAATTTATGGGTTAGCTAAGTCTTTTCCCACTCCTAAAGGTCTATACAGGCATAAAATCTTTGCCTGGATCCTTCGTGAAGAAAGTTTATCAGTAGCAAAAATAACTTTCCAGCTGTAAGAAAATGTGTCCTGGCAGTCCAGAGCTGGTAGAGAGAGGCTTCTCGTCATTAAGAGCACCAGCTTCCTCTTGTGGAGTCCTAGGCCCCACTTGGGGGAGGGGGCATAGATCCACGGCCTCCCTAACAAGCAAATCATAAAAGGCGACTAATTTAGGATTTTTCCCCAATGTCGTAGTACACCTGCCTGAGAGGTGAGGAACCAACAGTCTGCATGCAAGTAAGCCAGATCGGTAAAATAGATGTGCACGAAAAATTCAAGTTCTAAAAGAAGACAAGACGACGAACAGCCAGAACTTTGCCCTGGAGTTTTTAGCCATGAACGCTAAGAAGAAAAAGATCACAATCTGTGTTTGGTTTCAAGTAAATAAAGCTCCAGACAGTATTTCATCCATCTATCCTTCTGTTGCTTCTGATCAGTAGTAACTTCCCCGGAATCGCTACTAATAACTGCATACATCATCTATAATCTTATTATAATGACTTTTACCAGGGATGTCATCAATAATCGAAATACTTTCTTCTAATTTCTCCACAGTAAACAGCAGATTTCTACCAACATGACATAGTGTGGCAAAGCCTTTGAAAGCAGGTAGGGTCAAGAATATGTGAGAGGGGACAGATACAAGGAACAAAATTAACCAGTGCATATGATATGCACGATTTGTGCAGTATGAAGACTGAGAAAACATGAACAATGCCTGGGCTCGTATGGGTCCAATTTTAGTAGCATATGGAAGTGTGGGTTCTGGGGACCCCATTTTAGGGAAGACAAGATTAGACCCAGTCCTCCCTAACAAGCATGTCGTAAGAGTAAACTAATTGGGGGTTTTCTCCTAAATCGGAGGAGTGCATCTGCCTGAAAGGCAAGGAACTAACAATCTGCATAAAGTTAAGTCAGATCTGTTAAACGGATATGCACGCAACACTCAGGTTCTAGAACAAGACTAAAGTTCAGAGGTGGACAAACAACCAGAACTTTCTGCTGGAGTTTATAGCCGGTGAATGCGAAAAAGAAGAAGAATAACAACAAACAACATTACCTTGATGAATTTCCAAAGACAATATTTACTCAACGCACTGTAAGAATTACATTGTATTTCTCGCCTTCCCCCAATCCACAACTTCAATTCTTATTGCTGTAATTTACGTAATGTAATAAATGGGTTTTAAATAATAATAATGTGCTAATATGACACCCGTGGAGGAGCGGCTGGCTCAACGGTTGGAACGTTGGGCGGGAGACCCGGGTTTGAATCCCCGGTAAGGCTGGGGATTTTTTTTTAGGGGCAAAATAAAATCCTCACCTGCACAGTCGGGGCGACAGCACTAGCCATGTGGCCGTAGATCCTCAGGCTCAAAGACCACCCTGCCTACACAGCAAAAGTGGTAATAAAGACAGTTATCGACAGTTTTATGACACCTGTTGGAAATCTATGGTTAATCCGATTCTTTGTGATGACAAGAAAAGATATAAAACCGAACGAAAAGTATATAAGCAAGCTTCACAATATAACAAATAAACAAAATGTAAACGTTGCGGCTATTGAGCCTTCATCAGCACATACAAATGAAACTATACCACAGAGAAATACAAAATCACTTAGCTGGTATCTCGAAGCAGCCGGGTCGGTTGTTTCTCAGCAGAATGGCAACTTTGTGATGACAAGTGTTTTAATATAAACAAACTTTTTTTTTTTTAAATTAAAATCGTGAACAAATTTGTAAAAACAAATGTCATTTGCCTCTTACCTCTCTTCCCATGGGCTTACCCCGCAAAAGTTGTAAACGTAGACAGTAGTGGTTTGTTTTGTCTTCTCCTTCTTGTATTTACTCTCTCAGCAAGCTGTTGCCTCAAGACAAGGCACTCAGTAATACGTTTATAATTTGTTCTTTCCACAGTTCCGTCCGTCTTCCACTAAAACAACGAGCTTCGAACGCTATCACATTACAGCTAACTTTAATTTAATCATGAAATTTATGTACAACCGTTGCTTCTAAATCATCTCAGGAAATAATGGAAAATAAAGTATAACTTATTCTAAACATATGTTTCTCGGCTGTGTCTTTTCCTTATAATTTACTGTGAAAATATGTTTCATGTGTACTGTATATTTTAGTGTACGCATGTGAATAAAAAGCAGATCCTTCTGTGAAAGTTTATGTCTCAGATGTGCAACTTTCTGCCACTATTTATGTCTTGCCTGTATAATATAATCTGGGTATATAAGATAAAGTAGTAAAATAAATATCCCTTCACGCTTTTAGACGCATTGGGCATATGGGAAGAGTACACATATTTTTACAGACTGATCAGCACTAGGTGGCCGTCTTTAATTCCCCATGACATACATCCTCGTACCCATTTTAGGCTGGGTCGACCTGCGACGCCCCGTACCATAATAAAAACCCACGCAGCCAGCAGTGAGTTTCTATCGCGGTATGTTGGAATTACGAGTCGGACTCGCAACGCCTAAGCCACGAACTCCGCCAATCTGGGTAAATGCATGTATATCTATATATATAATAGTTTAATGCAGACATATATGTTAGAGGATGTTTCCCCCAGATATCCAGTCTTTAGAAATGGAACTGGATATCAACTGTGAGATACCATCCAAAGAGGAAATTATAAAAGCTATCAATCTTCTCAAGGAAGGAAAGGCGGCAGGCCCAGATGGTATCCCAGCTGAAGCCATCAGGGCCAACATAAACACATCAACAGAATTGCTACATAGATTTTTCAGTAAAGTCTGGGAGACTGAAGAAATACCAGCAGACTGGAGAGAGTGATATCTTGTTAAACTGCCCCAAAAAGGTGATCTACAGGAGTGTGAAAACTATAGGGGAATTATGTTGCTGTCAGTTCATGGAAAAATATTAAGTAGAATTATTTTGGAAAGATTAAAAGATGCTATTGATAAAATGCTAAGAGATGAGCAGGCAGGTTTTCGGTCAAACAGATCCTGTACTGACCAGATAGCCACATTACGTATTATAATTGAGCAATGCATTGAACTGAACTCACCACTTTACATTAGATTTATAGACTATGGAAAAGCATTTGACAGCATTGATAGGAAATCTCTCTGGAATATGCTCAGCGGGCAGAACAGTCAAAGAAGCCAACGGCGCCTTCTCCATGACAACCAGCAGCATGACGATGGAGGCGATGGCAGTGACACAAGCGCTTGCCTGGCTTGAAACACAAAAATACACCCGCGTGTGTATACTCAGTGATTCAATGAGTATGATCCGGAGGGTTCAGGCAGGTTCAGTGCGAAGACAATGGCTTGAATCATTACAGAAGTCCACTGTCCGTGGAGTCACCTTTATTTTTGTTCCGGGACACGCAGGCGTCGATGGAAATGAAAGAGCTGACAGGTTGGCTGGATCCGCTATCACTACCGACGGTCAGCCTATGGATCATGCTGATATTATCAATGCCCTCAGAGAAATGGGAAGGATAGACGACTTTGGTGGCAGTGAATCCACATCACTCGCCAGAATGGCAGACTTGGGAATTAAGATCGGCACAGCAAAAAACTAGACGCACACCAGTTACGCCAGAAGACTTGTTAATCAACATAGAACTAGTACTATTAGCCATCGGACGTTGGGGTTCATACTGAGGGGAGGATCTGAGCACCTATGGACATGTCCGGAGTGCAATGAGGATAACCCAACTAACTAACTAACTAACTAACTAATCTCTCTGGAAATTGATGGGGCACTATGGAATCCCACAGAAAATTATCAACTTAGTAAAGGCAACATATAAAGACATGAAATGTTGAGTTCTTCATGAGGGAAAGCTAACAGATACATTTGAAATAAAAACAGGTGTGCGACAGGGATGTCTTTTGTCGCCTCTCTTATTTTTACTGGCTAAAGACTGGACTATGAAAACAGTAACTGCTAACACCAAGAATGGAATTCAGTGAACCCCTACAAAACAGCTTGATGATCTGGACTTTGCTGATGATATTGCTCTTCTGTCCCATTCAAGGAATCAAATGCAAGATAAATTAAATATACTTGATGCGAGATCACAGCAGCTTGATCTGAAAATCCATAAAGGAAAGACAAAAACAATGAGAATAAATCAGGCAAATAGTAATGTGGCTTCTCTTAATGGCACTCCACTCCAAGATGTGGAGGCGTACACATATTTGGGCAGTAATGTAGATAAAGATGGAGGAACTGATAGAGATATTAAAATAAGAATACAAAAGGCAAGAGGGGCTTTCATAGCACTAGGGAATTTGTGGAGGTCACAAGAAATTTTTTTTAAAAATATTAAACTAAAAATTTTTAATTCTGATGTCAAATCAGTACTATTGTATGGGGGGGGGGGGGGCATGGAGAACAACCAAGGCAATTACTAATAAATTACACAAAATAATTAACTGGTGCCTGCGCATAATAGAGGGAATAAAATGGTATGATAGAATAGCTAATGTAGAACTTTGGGAGAGAACTAAACAGGCTCCAGTGGACCAAGAGGTGAGGAAAAGACGCTGGCGTTGGATAGGACACACACTGAGAAAACAAGAGAACAGCATAACTAGAATGTCTTTGCATTGTAACCCACAGAGGCATAGGAATAAAGGAAGGCCAAAAAACACATGGAGAAGAGAGCTGGAGAATGAGGTTAGAAAGATGGGGGGGGACATGGGGAGAGCTCCATGCAATGGCGAAGGATAGAACGACTTGACGTGAGTTGGTTGAGGGCCTATGCTCCATTGGGGGATAGAAAGGCAGAAGAAGAAGAAGATATATGTTAGAGGCTTCTACACATATTTGGCTCTGCTATGTACAACTTACTGTGACCATATGTGTCTCTGCTGTCCAGCCTAATTTGATTATGTTTCCCTATTCATCAATATCAGACCGCGCATTGATTTGTTGGTTCATTTAGATAACATCATATCAAGCAAGGTGCATGTCCCTATTCGGTGTACTGCCAGAATATTTCATAGTACCCATTTTAGGTTGGCTTTATTTGGAAGTACAAAGCATTTTGAAGGGTTCGGCTTGATAACAACATGTGACCACTGAGTCGACTGGCAACGTCTAGTTTGAGAATGGAGGTGGGGGCAGTCACTGCTGCCTTCCGCTGTCTTGAGAATCAGCTGTACATACATGTCGTCATTGTAACTGACTTACAGAGCATGCTGAGAAAGGTGGAGACAGGCATGCTCCGTGCAGAGTGGCAAGCTTCACTTCAAAGGTCCCGGGTACTTAGCATCCTTTGGATATTTTCTCCAGGTCATGCCGGTATGTTGGGAAATGAGCAGGCGGATAGACTAGCTGGTTCTGCACTACTTGATGGTTAACTGATGAATGGTAAGCTGGATGTTGTGATGACCCTTTGGGAGCGAGTGAACAGTGCCGATGCACAGATAGATCATTACGGTCTGAGGAAAAGGAACTGTGAGGAGTTACAAGGGAATTTGGCCGACGCTCGACACTCGGGCGAAAAGCGAGACGCATTTACAATCAGACGGTACTGGTACCATCGGAATTTTAACTCTTCGCTTGCTGCTGAAGATGGGGATGGC